TGCGCGCGTAGGGGAACGCTGGTGGTGGAGCTCGGTGAGGCGGTAAGAGTGCCGGTGCCAAGTTGAATGGTAGCGATGGTTGCGCCGGCGGGATCCGAACTTTGGGTGAATGTGGAAAGGCTCGCGTCCAAAGGTAATTGCGTTGGGCGCGAAAAGGTGTTGCGTAGTAGTCGGAGGCGTGTGTGAGGTGGAGGTGGAGTTGTTGTGGTGTAGTATCGGCTGCTGAAGCGGTTGGCTGCAGGTAGGGGTCTTGTGTGGTCTGTCTGGACTGGGCGAGGCGCTGTAGTCAGGCGAGTCGTCGATCATCGGAGCAAGCGAGGCAAAAGAAGGCTCGAGGTATGGAAGATAAGCCAAATGCAAATGGGTGCGGAGTGATGAAGGGTCATGCAACAAAAAGGAACCAAAGAAAGGAAAGAACAGAGAAGAAAAGAGAGGCAGAGGCAAGGAAAGGAAAATGGAGCGGAGCGTGACCAGATTTCAATGAGATTCAGCAAGCTTGTCTATGTTATCGGTGGTCCTGGTGGTTGCAGTCCATAAATTGGCATGTAGGACGCCGCGGTGGTCAGAGTGGTTGGATGGTGTGGGTGATGTTGTCCAAGGTGTAGATGTAGAAGAGGTGTCTGTATCCCGGAGAGGCCTCGTAGGTGAGCGTGGGCGGGCTCTGTTAGCGAGGTTGCGAAGGGAAGAGTTGGCAATGGAGGTAAGAGTAAAGCCTATGGTGTGATGTCGACGAGGCTGGTCGGGGTAGCCGTGTGTAATGTCTGTAGCACTGTAGGATCGAATGGAGATGCGCTGAGGAAGTCGGTGGTGTTGGTTGGGAAGCGAACAGTAAGGTCCGAGCGATAGTGACCGTGCATGGGGGTGGTGGATGTGTTGCTCCAGGATGGACCGCCAGGTATGTACTGGAGGAGTTGCGACCAAGTTGGAGGAGTGTGTGGCAAAGCTGTGTGTAGAGAGTGTGTGAAATGTTGTTGGTAAAGTGATTCTGGTCTGGTAATCTCTGGGGATCGGGCGCTGGAGTAACGCATCGATGAGCCAAGAAAGGAGGCCGAGCATCCAGTGCATCCACAGGAGCCTTGGATTGTGGGCAGCGGATGGAATAAGAGATGGCGGTGGCCGAAACGGCAGGGTGAGTGGATCGAAACCTGCATAATGGCGGGTGGGCGCCATCCATGTCTGAAAGCCTGGCTGGTCGGGCGTCTGCTTGCGATGGTCGCCATTGGTCGAGCACTCGAAAAAGAAGGTTTTGTGCTGCGGTGTCGCAAGCCAGGAAAGGCAGTGTGCAGTAATTGTGGATGACATGGCAGGAAAATCGCTGGCAGTCGTGTTGGTTTGAATGAAACAGTAAAGCCGAAATGAAAGGAAAACAATTAAACGAAAATCAATTGTGAATACAAAATTGAGAATCGAAAAAGCTCAGAAACGTTCAGAAAAGGATCTGGAAGTTGAGACCGTCGTGGAATCACGGTAAGAATGTGACAAAGCAAAATGTTTGTTCCTCAGGCGCGCCGCGGGGTGAAACTGTGTCAAATTGATCGCTCACAAAAAGAAAGCGGCAGGCGGCTCAGCGGCGGCAGCAGCAGCAGACTCCGTGGGGCGCTGCAAGCGGTGGAGCTTCTGTTGGGGAACCGTGATCGGCTGAAGCTGGTGTGTTCGGCAGTGGTTCAGCGGCAGCAGGCTCTGAGGCCTCTGTAAGGGCCCCGGCTCTCAGGCCGGTAACATGTTTGATGGTTGTGCGGTGTGGTTGCCCAGTGGTAGCGGTGGTTGGGCTGTAGTAGCTGTAGGTGAGGCATATGATGGTGAAGGTGAGGGGTGTGAGGGTGATGCTGGCAGGGCGCCTGGGTCAAAAGCACGTTGCATTTCTTGGAGCTCAGCCGAGCGGGCTTTGCGTTGGTCGATGGAGAATCCAATGCGAGTCGCTACATAGCGCCAGTTCGGTCGTAGCTAGGTTGCTTTTCACCTCAGCGAGTTGGATATCTTGGTCTGCGTCCCATTCGTCCCAGTCGCGAGACGGTGGTTCAGGTCGTGCGCGTTTGGTTTTTCGAGGGCGTCGAGTGGGTTGGGGTGTGGGAGAGGTGTCAGCGTCCAAGGTTGGTTGACGTGGTGAGCGCCGTGTGGGTCGCGGTGGCGGGTGATGTGAAGAAGTGGAAGATCGACGTGATTGGTAGCTCGAAGGAACAAAACATGGAGATGTTGGGCGATGTCAGCTGGCTGCTGCACTGTAGCGCAGTTGGGATAGGAGAGATGAAGCTCTCTGCAGTGTCGGTGCAATGATATTCGTCATAGCTCGTGTCCGCGCTCGGCAGCGTTGGCAGCGGACGTGAGGTGGCAGCTCCGAACGCTCGCGCGAGACCGGAAGTTAGCCAGGAAATGAATAACGAGCGTGCAGGTGAATTCAATGAATCGAGCCCGGGGCCATCATGAAGACAAAGTCAATGTGAATAAGATAAGCAAAAGGCACTTGACGGTTACTCCCAAAATCAATCTGGACACAAACAGAGCAGGCGAAAATATTCTAGAGTCAAAGTCAAAATCAACAGGCGTAGCTGATCGATTTTCTCAAGGATATGTGTCTGACGGTACCGCGTCGGCCGCCCAGTCGTGGATGGAATATCCAGCGCGCAAATGGTGCGCAGCGCCGTGGTCATCCGCCAGCAGCCCTTTAGCGTGCCTTCGCCACCGCTGCTATACTTGTGGCCTGTCCCCCACGCCAACAAATGGATAAAGGCGCACGCCTTATTTTTATCCAAGTTGTGGGTCTCGCGCCAGCTCGGTGTAATCGCGGGGATACTGGTGGGTAGCACGATATCCCTGGGCGAAAATTCCGGGATAGTGGGGGAAGTGTAGCGTGCTTGCCACGAATTTGCCTTGCCTCAGCGTGTTAATAATGTTGCCATGCTCGCTGGCATGGGCAGCTAGGAGGTGGCAAGGGGGCGGAGGTTTGTGGTCTCACGACATGGTGATGGGGGCGTGCGTGGAGAGTCCGCAAGGCGCGCGAGTTCTGGGAGGTGCACGAAGAAGCATCGAACGATTTCCCAGCTCTCTGTAGTGTAGTTCCAATCTATGTGGATGTATTGTTGGAAGTCCTGCAAATTGGAAACATTGAGGTTGCTGTCTGCCCACGTGTGCCCTATATGGGCATGGAATGGGATGTTGCTTCTGCCCAATTGATTGGCATGGTGGTCAAGCCAAATTTCGATTTGCTCACAAAAGGGGGTTTGGGTGGAAATTGAAAAGGCTTAGGGGCAGGGGTGGAAGGTGTGGGGGGCCCCCATGCAATGATTGGTCTTGTGTGGTTCTTGATTGGGAATGAAGCTGATGGTGCTGCGGTGTGAAATGTCAGAACCAGTGCTGCCTGTGAGTGTGATGGAGTGGTCATGTCGGTGGCGGTGGTGATGGCGACGTGTGCGGCGATGGTTGGAACGTTGTCTACCAGAGTGGTGGTGGCGATGGTGGCGTCGGCGCTGTCGACGTCTATACACCTGGGTTGGGATCCCATTGGATCTGCGTTGGAGGAGGTTGAGTGGGTGTCGTGGCTGCAACCTGAGATCTGTCTGGGGCTGCGGCTGTGTCTGAGGAGTCGGAGGGATGTATACTGGAACTTGGACAAACGGAGCTGGTGGCTGTGGTTGTGGCTCAGTATAGACATATGGAAGTTGTGGGTAGAAAATGTTGAACTGGTGGAAATGTGGTGTCGGCGGCCAGCGGCTGGCGGCGGCGGGCAGCGCGGACACAGCAACTCTCAGCACGTGGCGTTGAAACGAAAATTGAATTGAAAAACGGAATTGGTAGTTTGCTGAAAGTGGAACAGATAAAGGTTGAAAATGGAAAGTGAGTCAAATCTGAAGTTGTAGAAAATGGAGTTGTTTGTCAGTTGATCCTTGCAAGCCAGTTGGTAAGTGAATGGCTTCCAACATACGCACTTCGATCAGGAAAATTCAGTGGTGAATACGGCGCCCCAAAGGGGATCACACTGCACACCCAAGTGGGAAGATGCAGCTGGTCACACTCAGATTCACTGAATGAGCATGAGATTCAGTTACTGGCTGACCCCTGATGCCTGAAAACAGCCGTGGGGAATGGCGACAATGTTGTATAAAAAACATCCGCTGCGGCGTCCTCTCTGAATATCACATCCGATCAGCAGTGTCTTTGTTAGGCAGTGACTGCTGAAAGGACCGCTCCCCCCTGCAGTTCAAAAGTCATTGAGTAAAACTGGTGAGGACTCCTAGAAAAGGCGGTGGGCACACACACGCGCACTTCGATGTTGTTCATTCAGTAAGGATAATCCACAAGGAAAGGAATGGTGGAACGGCACGGCGGCTGAGTCCGCGGAGTTGAACGTGTTTGAACAAAGGGTTCACGAACGCTCAAAGCCGGCGGCAAACGCTGCTGCAAGTCTGCAGGGAAAGTGGGTTGGGGAAAGTAGCATGGAAACCACCATGAAAGCAACAAACAGCGGAGGGCGGACCATTGGAGTCAGTGCGTTGGTCAGACTGATCAGGTCTGGTATCACCAGCGGTTGCAAGTGTCTTCATTGGCAGGAGACTTGCAATGGTGCTCCTGCCCCCTGCTTAGAAAGTGAGAAGGAAACCCTTGGAGACAGGGTGTGACACACACACACACACACACGCGCACACGCAGAAAGATCTCTGCCAGTGGCACATTTGTAGTCCCCCCCAAAAAGCATGCACATGGGCTGGATGTTGAGATTAACTTGCCCCTGTAAAGTTCGCTATTCTAGGTCCCATCTGCAACCACCAGGCCTCCAAGTATGCTCGTGCCTGTTGTTGCAACTCCACCGCTATGGAGCGGTCCTGCACAATCCATATTGTTTACTTATTTCTTTATGTTTTCTCCTTGGCCTTTCGTTTGTCTTTCTTTATTTAAGTGAGTGTGTATTTAAGCGCTGTTAGAACTGCTTCCAGGCTTCCACACACTTTTCTTGTTTGGAGATGTCTCTTCCAAATGCTCGGTACCATCTTCCGGAGGCATCTCCAGAAAGTGTACCTTTGCTGAAGTGCTTTTTCACTTGAATCTGATATATATATATATAGGGTATCTGCTCCGAATTCATCCCTTGTTTCTTTAAGTTTGATAGAGCTCCTGCAACAACTAAAGTCACCCAAGACTTGATTCCATGCCTAGAAACTATGTACCATGCTATTGCTGTCAAAGCCAACATTGCTCCTCAAACAATTTACAAATTGTCCTGGCCCTCGCTTTCTCTTTGACAAGTTGTCAGCAAAGCATATTTCAATTTGGACATCTCTCAAATTCCAAATTTCCTAAACCAAAAGCTTGGCTCTTCCGTGAAATACACAGGCCTCGATCTTATGGCGCACGAATCCCCACCAAAACCAGATCATCTAGTCCCAGGTCCCAGGACGTGCGTCTGAGGAGCCATTCCCTCAATACCATTGAAGGAGAAGAACATCATCTGCTGCTGCAACTGGTCTTCATATGCCATATCGTCGAGCAAATTCGCCTCTGAACACCAAGGCATATCTTTGGTTTGCATCTTTGCTCGTGCAAAGAGTAATGCCACGCACAAACATATGCACGATGCACCTGACAAAAACAACTCTTGTTTGAAGGGTTTTTGATTTTGAGCCACCCTGAGTCTGAAACAAACTGAAGAAAACCACCTAGACTCTAGTTCAACCCAATCTCATCGATTGCAAGGCACGGACGACCCTCCTGGCCTACCGCAGTGCAGGACACAGGAGAACCCCCATGTGTTTGAGCATCTGCTACCTTCTTCACAAAATGGTGCATACTGGATCATATGTTTAGTCGGAAATTCACAAAGAAAGAACGCAGGAGACTTTTGGTCGTGTTGACATGACCTAAGCCGGGCAAGCGGTTTTTTCCCACCCAGATCTGCCTGATGGTGAACTTACCCATAAAAGCCAAAGCCCGGATTGGAATGGCTCCCGGTGCAAAATATCTTACTCCACTGATTATTTTTTCCTTTAGTGAATGGGTTTTTGGTTACAACTGAACATATCTCCGTTGGTGGTGCAAGCTAGGCCTGCTGGGGGTTAGGTCTTCCTGGTGTCGACGAGAATCTTCTGTGCGCCCTTCGACCCGTTCGACCCACCTCCTGGCGCATGAGCTTCTCATCCCAGAAGACTGTTTCCTCCGCTGCACGCTCCTCGGCAGTGCCTCGGCCCAGCTCCAGAAAGTTCTCAAGTTTGTGATTGTCGGTTGATTGTTTTCGCTCTTCTTTTTGCTGCGGTGGGTAGACACGAAGCCGAAACCTGCACACCCAAAATGCTCTCAATATACATATGATTAGAACCTGATGAATGACTCGAACCCTGGTCCGTCAGTCTCAAATATATAGATACACCTCCGCACATGATCCAATTGAATTCACCAAATGTTTGCAAAGGACGATTGTCAAACCCAGGGCCAGGAAGCCGTTTTCAGGGTGCATCCTTGTTTATGCTTTTAGGAAACAAGAACCGTGTTTCCGCAGTTTCCCGATCTCAAGTGCTATAGGAGACCTTTGTCAGTGGAATGAATTTCCAACAAATACACTATACACCAAGAGCCCCTAGTGTTACCCTAGTGCTTCGGAGGTGGTGCACTGCAGTGTGGTAAGGTTGGTTTCGCTACCACAAAGCTACCGGGATGAGGAATCTAAACAAGGTCTTTGTGGCAAAATGATACCGCTGAACACTTGGATGCAAATCATACATATTGTGTTACTAGTGACGGTGCATGGAGAAAGCCATAGTGCTCAAATAGTGGTCTCATACTGATCAAACAGATCCACACACCATGGTGCCGGGCCACGGGCCATCTCTGGGCAGTCTCCCACGCCAGCCATGACATTGGCAATGCGATGAAAAACGCGGAAGGCCTTTGCAAAGGCGCCCGTGTTCCACAAAGGTGGCTTAGCCGTTTGAGAAGGCGCCCGTGTTCCACAAAGGTGGCTTAGCCGTTTGAGAATTCGCTTCCCTGGTGATCCTAATCAAACTCTCGGCCAAATAGATTGGATGGATATGGATCTGAGGCAGCTTGAGGTGCCCAATTCAACCAAGTCCTTTGGTTTCTCCGTGGTTTGCGAAGGAGCCAGGGGGTTTGATCAGAATTGGGCTTTGAGTCAAGAGGACATCTAGAGTTGCAGCCAAATTAGATCTCCGTTTATACTGTTTATTTGGTTCTCCATTGAAAAACACACAAGAAGCCATCCCTCATGCTGGGAATCCTATCATATCCCAGATTCGCTTCCCTACTGTGGCACCTGGGGGTTTGTGATTGACTTGCTTGTCTCACCCTCCCAGCCCTTTTGCGTCCACTGAAAGCGGACAGGGAAAACGACAGAGAACACGGAGAGAGGAAGGGAGTCACTTCAAATGACACACACATTCAGCAACGAACAAAACGCAAGAAACATGGAGCATGCCAGTGGCATGACAATGTCTGATTGTGGCCCCAAGATGGGTATATTTTGAGCTCGGGTAATCTCCTGCCAAAAAGTGCGGACTTCCGCAATGCAATTTCCGTAGTGAAGTCTGCACAGCAACATCTGCAGCGATTTGCCATTGGATATGCTCTAGTGAATCGGTTGACACTTCCAAAAAAGCAGTCAACTTGATAGAAACACCGACCCTCACTGACAGGGTGAAATTCTTCGCACCTGCTTCATGTCCTTGTTCAAACACATTGGCGAGGTCTGTCGCGAGCATGACACCACAGGGGCTCGACTGATTGGCCAGGAAAAAAAGGTGAGAGCTTCATAAGGAGTCACTGAGACTGCGTCGGTCCCTCTCGTATGATTGAATGAGCTTCTGCATTCTGAAACGCTGAAACGAAAGAATCAGCAGTGCTGAAGACGTCTTGCAACACCAAGTCCAGAACGTGCGACAAGTCTAAGCTTGGCTATCTATATACACTGGGAACAAATGACTTACAGTAGGCCAAACTGGCCCGATATGACATACAATTTCCAGGGAAAGGCCTAAGTCATGTAGAGGTGTGAAATTCGCAATTTCAGTGGCACACGTTCATGACATGGGCCAGTTTAGTGACAACCTCTGACAGATCGGACATCTCTGATTTTGAGTTTTTTTAAACCTTAGCTTCATGACATAGGACTCCGTGACCCTAAGGCAAAGCCTCATGACTTAGCCGCAAAAAATTGAAGTATTTTTCACAACTCCTTTGAACTCCCCTTGTGCCATCCCGCATCCCGCAGCTGGCCGTGTTCAGGCAGGAGAGCAGCAAGTCCAAGTGCCGCCCTGTCCAGGTCAGCTCCACGTTCACATCCCTGCAAGTCCAAGTATCCAAGGTCTCCTGAGTTTGGACCCCGTCTGCGTCTCACTGGAGGGATCTGATGTCAATAGGTGTGTTCCGAGGCTTCCATGCACTTGTTTGGAAACCCTTAGCACACTTGGTAGGAAACCATCCGACGACTCTAGGCGACTAGTTTCTTTCACAGAATGTATGGCTTAGACATGAGTATCTCCCAGTGGGTGAAGGAACTCAGCTTACCAAACTCAGAAACTCTGCCCTGAGGGTGCTTGTTACTTCGATAGATTATTTTCTGTCCGGATTCACTGAGCACTCCACACCCCAACTCACCAATTCTGACAAGTCTTTCGGAGAAATGGATGATACACGATATTGATCCGATATGGGATCATTGCAATGCAAACTGCTGGTCTCCGACAAACCCTCAGTGTCCAATGTCGCTCAGTTTCTAGCCATCACACAGGGTGCAGGATACAATTGAGAAGCAAAGGCTTGGCAGACTGGCCAACAAAACACAACTTATATACCGATTTGGATGTTTCAATTGAACCAATGCAAGTGGGTCTCAACAAAATAACAATACACAGGAAATAAGTACATCCAAACACCTTGATAAAACTTGAAACTTCTGGTACAGTATCCTGGAGCCAGTCTGAACAACGCAAGTGACCCACTCTGAAGTTCTGATTCTAATCGGTTCTTCTTGGGGCTGTGGACATGGGGTGTGGACGATAGGCAACTTATGTATGGTTTGTCCATTGCAGTAATTGACTCGGCTTGCCGAGATTCATGGTCTTTCAGGATCTTCAGAAAGTCCTTGGATACCTGAAGCTTCAAGATTGCTCCAATCAAGTTCAATTCAGGATATTCGTGAGAACCATTGATATGAGGCAGGATTATGCCTGATCCAGAACAAATATCCTGGGCAGGTGGACATGCCCATCAATAGTTTGGCGTCGGATGAACTTCAAAAGGCTGATGAGGCAGGGAGACATATATAATGTATATATATATACTTCACCTGGCCTTATCTGGTCTCATTCCACTACCAAGTCAGCTTGTGGTCCTCTCCTGCTTTCATCTAGCAACAAAAGTCAAACGCTTAGACACATAGCAACCGCCTACAATTTCCTCAGAACCCACAACCGAGGATGAATATGTATTACCGTGTCGCTTGCATGGGTACGGACCTTGGCTACTCATGAGAACCTCCACACACACACATATATATATACATACCAATCAATGGTCAGCATCTTTTTGACAGCTTAATCATGAGTCGTTAGTCTGCATTATTTCCAACTTAGGACCACACATGGATGACTATACACCGTTGCGTGATTGTTGCATGCGCTTTTACTTTCCTGGATATCAACGTTTGAAGGTCTGCCAACGTTCTATGCTATTACTTTGCACATGGGCATTGCACAGGTTTTGCATTTCACCGCACATAGAGTCTTAGAGTACTGCTCGAGTCTCCGTGGCATGTCGCACAGTGCTTTGCAAGGAAAATCCAAGAAAGCAGGGCTGGATGACAACTTCTCAACCAAGTTGATGACACTAGTACTGCATAGCTGAACAGAAATCACTCAGAATGTGATTGCACTTCTGCCTCTCTGCGAAGATGACGCCGAAGCAAAGGCTGGAAAGAGGCAGTGATTAGCACTTGGACACATTGCTCGCTGAGAGTGACCTTTTGTTCCTGGCCATCGCACGTCAAAGCAATCAATCTCCCAATCCAAAAACCCATCAAAAAAGCCTCTCTACGGCCGCTGTTGGCTGACCCCCCTGTCTTCGTTGTATGAGTGTTCTGGTTCCAAGATGTTATGTTGCAGGCATGCAACTTACTAAGTATTGAACAATGTTGAGCGAGGATCTTGGGTGTAGACTTCATGCAACTTGCTTGGTAGACACCTGAAGTAGTTTCTGGGGGCATGGGTCCATTGGGGTCCCGTGGCCTCCTCATCAGGGTTTCCAAAGGTCTCTCGTGCGCAATTCGTTGCCAGGACCTTGAAGGTCCGGTCGATCACCTGAGCGCTGGCTGTTTCGAGCGTGACAAGTAGATGTGAACAAATGCAATGCCCTTGTTACTAGTAGCCATGCACTTGTTACTACTAGCTTCTAGCTACTAGAAGCGTTTCAATGAAGTCCACAAACACGTGGAGCAGTACATAGGCATAGTCTAGTCTAGTCCGACTCCAAAGCCTAGAGACGCTTCTGGTATGATTCCTGCGGAACTTGTCTGCGGCCTCACCATCTTTCTCAAGGAACTGCGTCCTGAGCAACGGTGGTTTCCCTCTTGCTGTCACTATATTGAGCCCACTTGCGAAGGGTTGGAAAACACTTTCCCTTGCAGTGCAAATGTGAGAGAGGGAGAGAGCAATAACATGATGGGGCAGCACTCTCGCAGCAGTTCAGTTTGCCTTTTACTGTCGATCCATCTATGCCAAAAGCACGCTGTGATAACCATCATGAGATGTAACCAGCAATCATACGAGCTGCGAAAAGGGATATCATGCAAGGGACATAAGCGAGAGTAGAACCTACATGGGAGGATGGAAGTCATCCCTTACTTTGTCCAGTTATTCCCGATTTTTCTTGGCCAGCGTTCCCCATGCTGTGGAAGCATCAAATTCCTCAGGACAGCTCCCAGTAGGCGCTCGTCGGACTGGACAATCTCAGGGTCTAACATGTGCAGCAGCTGTTGCACCTGTCAACTGGATGCAAAAAAATCCGATACAAGCCAGTCTCATTGATGATTCTGAACATTTGAGTGACCCGGACAAACAAAGCATGGCCTCAGATGATGCGGGTTTTCCTGCTTCAACCATTGGTTGGGCATTTGTGCACCGAAAGCTGGGGATAATTGGCTTCTTTGAAATCACTTAATGCCATTTAAGCTTGACACATACTTGTATCAAAGAAGAGCAAAAACATCTCCGACCTTTTCATCGTCCAGCTCCTCCAACCGAGCATATTGCAGGCCCATCCCTGCCTCCTGTGGATGGGGTGGCTGCAGCAGGGTCTTGTGGCTTTGTGAAGGGCGTTTGATCCAATTGTCGTCAAGACAAGACGTTTACGGCAAAGTCGCGCCACTCAATTGAAGAGAGTTCGGGCTGCTGGTCTACAAACCGAGCACACCCCATCCTGTGGCTTGAACCGACGCTTCCAGTCAAAGCTGGACAAAACGATGCAAACCCAACCATCAACTTGTGCGTTTTGCATCATGTTGTCATGTTGACCCAGGGTTTTCACTCTTAAGCAAGATGTTCAACCTGTGGAAGGAACTCCCTTAGTAAGAATATTGAACTATAGCTACATGCTTCATCATGTTCTCGGCGAGCAATCTTTCGCTCCTGGACCTTTTTGCATCCTTTGTCGTAGTTCTCAAACAAGTTTGTCAATGTCCAGTTTTGGGTCAAATGCCACTGATATACACAAAACAATCAAAACAGCAGATTGAAAACAAACAAAATGCAATAAAGAACAGACATGCAATAAGAAGAACTTCATGCAGATCATTGCAAGTGCTTTTTCAGAGAGCCGCCTGGTCTACTTCCAAGACGGCCTGGCATGTGTCATCATCCGCTTGGGCCAAGAGCGCCATGCTGTGGAGACCTGACGTTAAAAGAGGCAGACCCCCCCCAAAAATAGGAATAAGAAGGCCTCCAACCAACCTAATAGCGATGGCCTCCATCCTAAGAGCCGCTGGTATCTACAGCCTGGCTTCGTATCACATTGTTCTTTCATTCTTTTCTACAATTGGTCATTGCCAAACAAAGGCAGCCACTTTGTGTGGACCCTTTATATATTCTGGAGGGGAGACAACACAAACTGCAGATTCTTTGAACTGGCCCTGAACATCTTGGGCAAAACGTTAAAACCACCCAAATCCTCGGTGATAGAATCGGGTCAGTGACAGTGACAAAGCCTAGAACAAGGCCGTTAAGTGTAGACCGCAACAATCAAGAAGGGTCTAGCTGTAGGTTGAACACTGCAAAAAGTGTAGCTTTCCCGGGATTCTGCATCGAAGACTTTCATATGTGCCAGTCCATTGCAGTGTTGAGACTGGAAGGCAATCAATATCTGTTGCTCTTGTTCGCACGTCTGCAAGTGTCACAAGTAGCCAAACACCAGGTCCCTGGCAGGGTGGTCCGATCTCATTCGCAATGGAACCGCACTTGGTAAGAGTACCTCACAGCTTCGCAATTGCAGTGCTTCCCAGCAACTCGCCTTCGGGACTTGCGGTGATGGGATGGTCAAAGCAGTCGGGGAAATGTAGTTTTCATCATGCATCACCACTGTCGATAAAAAACACCTTGCACCAGGTGTGATGGAGAAATTACAGCATTCTGGGCGCGTTGAAGGTTCCTCTGCTTAATCCACAGTTTTGGCCTGTTTTGACCCGCAAGACACAGTCGAGGCTCGGATCAAAATGCTGCGAATATCAGGATGCCGCTCCGCCAGCATGCAAACCTGTTCCTCAGCCGAAAGTGTACTTTCACGGGAAGAAACCTTGTGCGACTTACGGAATTGAAATGGAAGTGAATGCTATTTTCCTTTTTGACCAGGGATTGGTTGAATTCGAATGCTGAGGTTCCTGAACCTTACACATCTCAGCTTTGCAGGACTGTATACTATAACATAATAAAACAATATGAAACAATACCGATCCTTTTAAATGACTTTGATGGGAAAGAAGAGCCGACAGTTGATCCCCATGCAGTTGCTCACGTGAAGTAACTACACCAGGGAGATTTGTGGTCAAAACAAAGAAATGAATAAAGATCTAAAGTACAGAAACAAAGAAACTTCAGCATCGATTTACAGGCCCAAAAAAGAGGTCGTTGTGTTCACAGGTTGGTACAGTAGTTATCAAAGAAATTCAATTGAAAAGGAGGAAGAACACGTCGACCACAAGGATCACAGGATGAGTTCCACAAGTCGAGGAGGCATGAGATAGAAAACATGTCCAGACCTGACCTGTGCTTACATTAGTGGTTCTGTGACTGGGCAAAGCGACCATGTCAGTGTCTTTATAACCTCTTTCATATGTATATAATAGATACAATATATATACATATGTATAAATACGTATGGACATGTACAATATGTTGCAAAAGGGACATGCACAGTACTTGCTTTGCCCCTGCAGTTGAACATGGGCGCAAATACCTGTTTGTTCTGAGTCACGTTCCATCTTGTGGGGTGAGTGAATCAGGGCGGACACATTTATCCGGCTCGAGCTGCTGCAAAAGTCTTGGAAACAACCTCTCTGGCCGCACGCAGCAGGTTCGGTTCCATCTTGCCTGCGTAGTCGGCCCATTTTCCAAACTGAATTGCTTACCTATACAACCTGGTGGCAAGAAATCTTCCCTATTTGACTCAAAAAACATACCCACAGCCATGAGAATGTGGCCGAGTTGAGCATGGATTGTGTCCATTGTAATCTGACTTTCCGAGTCCTGCAAGCCAGCGTCGTTGTTCGATCCGACGGTACGACATAGAGAGCTTCTTCAAAGGAATGCAGATGCTGTTGCCCACAAAGTGAGGTATCTTAAATCGATGGACGCGGGAGTTGGATATGCATTTGCAACGGGCGAACATGACTTTTGAGAGTTAGGGATCTTCTTTGGCCTTTTGGTAGTCAGCCATGCTTCCATGTCTCATGACATTGCCTGTCTTCATATTCGTCTTCACCTTGATGTCGTCAAACCTGGGGAAGAAGGGCCGTGATTGCATGATCTATATTCTTCGACCTTCGTGTGCATCAACGCGAAGGAAGCTGCTCCACACAAATACTATATAGAAAAGTGGCTCGTGGAGCCCCACCTTTGTAAGTGGGACAAACCAACAAACCTGTGAGGGCATGCATCAAATTGACAAGCCGTTTGTTGATGGGGTTTGTTTGATGCTTTGTCCGATCCCTTTGATTCACTGTCCCCCCATTTGGCACAAAGCCATGTGGGTATCTCAAAGACTTCGGGCCCTATCCAGCCATTGGGATTGCAGCTTTGGGAAGTAGATGAGCTCTCTCTCACCCCAATAGTTGGAGGACTGGACAACATAATTTCGATACTTTATTGCTCCCAACTCAGAAGCATGGTGAACAGGTGAAGTGGCTTCAATATCTCAACATCCGCCAACTGGGGTCCACATTGAACATCAAAACTTCCACCCAAAAGGATCCAAAAAGTATCTTCAGGCATGTGGTCAGAGCTGACAGTGCTCTTTCGCATGGACATGCTATGCAAATGAGGGGCATTGCTTCACATTTTTCGGCTGGCAGTGAAGCTAGATGGCTGGCTTTCCTTGGCAAAGGCACTACCGAGATGGTAAGCACAGGATGTCCTTTGGATGCGTTTATCATGCTTCTACAGCCAAAATGTTATAGCCTGAAAACCAGTTGGACTCCCCCCCAAAAAGTATACAATCCTGACAGCAAAACTAACGGATCTTGGCAGTCTGATGTTCTTTCCCAAAGCCTATTTGTCGAGAATCAAATGCGTCATACCCAACAACAAAAATGCTTAGCACAACTACGAAATACAGCACTACACTATCCTCACAATGCTTTCTGTACTTGCAGCCGGCCTTTTAATTTTGAACTTGTATTCCGTTTAAGTTTAAAGTGTCGAACTACACGAAACGTTCTGCTTTTCAAAGGTACCATGCTCAGCTGAAATTAAGGACTTAAAACTGTTAGCTGCTGGGCAGTGTGAGCTGTTTTCTACACAAAAAACAAGATGGAACCCACGAACCCGAATGCAAACACGTTCGAAAAGCTACATATGTCCAAATGACACTCTTGTAGGACACTCTTGTGGGACACTCTTGTGGGTCACTCTTGTAGGAAACTCTTGTGGGACACTCTTACGGGACACTCTTGTGGGACACTCTTGTGGGACACTCTTGTGGGACACTCTAGTAGGAAACTCTTGTGGGACACTCTTGTAGGACACTCTTGTGGGATACTCCTGTAGGACACTCTTGGACACTCTTGTGGGGCACTCTTGTGGGACACTCTTGTAGGAAGCTCTTGTCGGACACTCTTGTAGGACACTCTTGTGGGACACTGTTGCGGGACACTCTTGTGGGACACTCTTAAGGGACACTCTTGTGAGACACTCTTGCAGGACACTGTTGCGGGACACTCTTGTGGGACACTCCTGTGGGACACTCTTGTGGGACACTCTTGTGGGACACTCTTGTGGGACACTCTTGTAGGACACTCTTGTGGGACACTCTTGTGGGCACTCTTGTGGGACACTCTTGTGGGACACTCTTGTAGGAAACTCTTGTGGGACACTCTTGTGGGACACTCCTGTAGGACACTCTTGTGGGATACTCTTGTGGGACACTCTTGTAGGAAACTGTTGTGGGACACTGTTGCGGGACACTCTTGTGGGACACTCTTAAGGGACACTCTTGTGAGACACTCTTGCGGGACACTGTTGCGGGACACTCTTGTGGGACACTCCTGTGTGAGACACTCATTTGGGACACTCTTGCGGGACTCTTGTGGGACACTCATACGGGACACTCTTAAGGGACACTCTTGTGAGACACTCTTGCGGGACACTGTTGCGGGACACTCTTGTGGGACACTCCTGTGGGACACTCATTTGGGACACTCCTGCGGGACACTCTTGTGAGACACTCTTGTCGGACTCTCTTGTGGGACACTCTTGGACACTCTTATAGGACACTCTTGTAGGAAACTCTTGTGGGATACTCTTGTAGGACACTCTTGTGGGACACTCTTGTAGGACACTCTTGTGGGACACTCTTGTGGGACACTCTTATAGGACACTCTTGCGGGACACTCTTAACTCTTGTGAGACACTCTTGTGGGACACGGTTGCGGGACACTCTTGTGGGACACTCTTGTGAGACACTCTTACGGGACACTCTTGTAGGACACTCTTGTGGGACACTCTTGTAGGACACTCTTGTGGGACACTTTTGTGGGACACTCTTGTGGGACACTCTTGTGGGACACTCATACGGGACACTCTTGTCGGACACACTTGTGGGACACACTTGTGGGACACTCTTGTGGGACACTCTTGTGGGACACTCATACGGGACACTCTTGTGGGACATGCGGGACACTCTTGTGGGACACTCTTGTGGGACACTCATACGGGGCACTCTTGTCGGACACTCTTGTGGGACACTCTTGTAGGAGACTCTTGTGGGACACTCTTGTGGGACACTCTTGTGGGACACTCTTGTAGGAAACTCTTGTGGGATACTCTTGTAGGACACTCTTGTGGGACACTCTTGTAGGACACTCTTGTGGGACACTCCTGTAGGACACTCTTCGTACGAGACTTCCTCCAAAAGTCACGCTGCGAGGCTGCAAGACGAGCGTTTCGTACGAGACTTCCTCCAAAAGTCACGCGTCAAGTCTCAACAACGAGCGTTTCGTACGAGACTTCCTCCAAAAGTCACACGTCAAGTTCCAAAACGAGCGTTTCGTGCGAGACTTCCTCCAAAAGTCACATGTCAAGTCCCCAAAACGAGCGTTTTTTCGAGACTTCCTCAAAAACTCACATGTCAAAGTCTGCAAAACGAACGCTCCGCACGAGGCTTCCTCCAAAAGTCCAGCGGAAACACCCATCGGAGCACACACATCACGCAGCCCTGCCAAACAGTTTCGCGATTCCAGCCCCTCCAACGACGCCCGCTCACACGCCAATCCCAATGTGACAGCGTCTACCACAACTCACAACCTCCCGATTCCCTGCGCCTGCCACGAATCTTTCCGCGTCCACACGTCTAACGCGCACAAAGTACTGCGCCTGCCACGAAATGTCACCTCCGTCACACCTCGCAACCTCACGATTCCCTGCGCCTGCCACGAGAATCGCACTTCCAGACCTCAAAAGCCGCACAAAGTACTGTGCCTGCCACGAAAAGTGACAATATCATCTCATGTGAGCTTCAACAAAATTTGCACCGCACCACACGTTTGGAATGATTTCGACCCGTTCTGAGCACACTCCCATCCACCAAAATCGGCATTTCAGCTGAGACTTGTCACGAAAACAGAGCTTCAATGCCACCTGAAACGCAAATCCCAATGGCACAGCCACGTCCAACACCCCAAAGACACGACTCTCCAAACGCTAATCCCAATGGAACTGTGCAGCAATCTGCAGATCTCACAAAACGCTGCGCCTGTGCAGCGAAACGCATCACGTTTCTTACGCGACATGTCTTTTTTATGCAAATCACAATAGAATAGCAGCGCAAACTGACACGCGACACATCCATGAATAGTCACTTGCAAAAGCTTCCCCCAATGGCAGCGCCTTAGCGCTCTACTGCGAACGGTTGCGAACTTAGAAACAACGGGTCACGAACAAGGCTCCACCCCCAGACCCCCAAGAGTTAAACGAGAACCCTTCGCTACGCATTCGGGAATAATCTACATCGTAAAAAAATATTGAAGGAACATAAACATACAACAACTGCGGAGTGTTTCAACCTGATTGCACCAACCTCCCGATTCCACATCAGTTTACAGTGTTTTGATGTCTAGTCTTAGTCCAGGATGTGCGTGTATATTTTCATCTGTGTGTGTGTGTGTGTGTCGACACTAGCACTGATGAGTTGCAGATGCACAGTTTCTTGCTGTGACCACGACACACTGACGCGACACACTTATAATGAATTCACCTTCGCCGCACGAGGCTCTGTGTGTGTGTAACCCTTGTAGTCACAGGGCTTCTTTTGAAGTTTGATGGATGACACTCACAAATCTTGAAGTGTACCATGTTGTTGCAGTTGAAAGGAATGACACGCACAAATCTTGCAGTGTACCACGTTGTTGCAGTTGAAAGGAAAGACACGCGCAAATCTTGATGTTTTTCATAATGTTGCAGTGCAACCTTTGGAGTCACAATCCGTTTTCGGTTTTGCTTTTTTTTTTTCCCTTGTGTCTTATGGGCCCTCTAACCTATTGCGCAGGCCTCCAACCTTGTCGCTAGGGCCTCTTTCTATTTGTGGTACCTTTCTAGTAGTTGGCTTGCCGGTTGCCCTTAGGGCCGGCGCGTCCACTCTGCTTGGCTGGATGCTTTCCTTTCCAGTCAGCAGAGTTGGGGTGGGCATAGCTGCTGCTTGCTGCTTGCTGCTGCTTGCTGTTGCTTGGGCCTCCAAACTTAGGCGCTGACCTCCAACTTCTAGCGTCGGCCTCTACTTTAACTTTAACTTACCCCCTTTCCTAAGCTTTTTACTTACTTACCTCGTTTCCGCAGAGTGCCTCCCGTGGACCCGTCGAACGGGGGTTTGTCGTTATCTCCCTTGCTTTGGAGATGTAAGTGTCCGGAGCGGGCAGCAGTTGGCTCATGCCTCAAGAAGTGGGATGTTTGTCTCATCTTTGGAATTCCAAGTTGGCTCATGTGACCGCAGCGGTCAAAGCAGCCAGCCATTTCGGCAGGGCACAAGGTGACCACAGCGGTCAAAGCAAGTTTAAGGTTCATTGGAACCTGTGGAGAACTTAGCCCCCCTTCTCCCCCTTCCCTCCCCCTTTCTCTCTTTGCTTTCTGGATCTTCCTGGGGTTTTCCTGATTGAAATACTCAGGATCACCCCTCTCTTTCTTGGGTGTGTCCCTGGACGATTGTTCGTAGGTGGGAACACCTACCTTCCTTTCCTCTCCCTTTCTCTCCCTCTCTCTTTCTTTCCTTTTCTCTTTCCTCTCTTCACCCTCTTCCGTCATAGCTGGGAGCCCTTCCTTTTGGTGTGTCCCTGGACGCATGTGTCGTAGCTGGGAGCACCTTTGTTTCCTTCTTTCTTTCCCTCTCTTTTCTTCCTCCCCCTACCCCCTCTTTCCTCGCGCGCGGCGTGTTTACAAGCAAACTAGGCTTCTGCAGCAGGTTTTTCTAATGAGGTTTGGTTTGTCATCGGTTTGTCCCCGTTCATTTGGTTCCCCTTTCATCGGCCCCCACAGACGTTTTTTCTTCTTTTCTTTCATGTCTTTCTGTCTTCATGTCTCTTCATCCTCATCCTTTCCTTCTCTTGCGCGTACTATTGTCCGGACCTTAGTTTGCACACACACACACACACGCATGCGTACTTCACTTGCAACGAGGTTTCAGGTCGCCCAAGTCTTTACAATGAGGTGGGCTTCATCGGGTGTTCCTGTGCACTTGGTTCCTTTCTCATTTCAACCACACGCACCTTTGTCCCGTCTCGTCCTCCTGTCGTGTCTTCATTCTTTTGTCTTGCGCGCGCACACGTACACATTGGCCTTCACCTTAGCTTTACGCCTCCCCTCGGGGAGGCGTGTGTGTGTAACCCTTGTAGTCACAGGGCTTCTTTTGAAGTTTGATGGATGACACTCACAAATCTTGAAGTGTACCATGTTGTTGCAGTTGAAAGGAATGATACGCACAAATCTTGAAGTGTACCATGTTGTTGCAGTTGAAAGGAATGACACGCACAAATCTTGCAGTGTACCACGTTGTTGCAGTTGAAAGGAATGACACGCACAAATCTTGTTTTTCATAATGTTGCAGTGCAACCTTTGGAGTCACAATCCGTTGTCGGATTTGTTTTGTTTCCTTTTCTTTTTTTTCGATGCCTTGTGTCTTATGGCCTCCAACCTTGTCGCTAGGGCCTCTTTCTATTTGTGGTACCTTTCTAGTAGTTGGCTTGCCGGTTGCCCTTAGGGCCAGCGCGTCCACTCTGCTTGGCTGGATGCTTTCCTTTCCAGTCAGCAGAGTTGGGGTGGGCATAGCTGCTGCTTGCTGCTTGCTGCTGCTTGCTGTTGCTTGGGCCTCCAAACTTAGGTGCTGACCTCCAACTTCTAGCGTCGGCCTCTACTTTAACTTTAACTTACCCCCTTTCCTAAGCTTTTTACTTACTTACCTTCGTTTCCTAAGGTTTTTTAACCTAGGCCGGCGAGTGGCACCGCTGTCAATTCCGTACGCATATCCATAAGTGTGTGTGCCCGTGTGTCGCATGACACGCAAGCATATGCTTTGGTCAAATACTGCCACTTCAGTCCTTTCGCGCGAAGCATTTGTCATTTTCTCTTCTGAATCTGAGGATGCAAAGCTGGAGTTTGCACTTTCAGAGTCTTTCACTTTCTGTGAGTTTTGTTAGCATATTCAATCCCAGGAGATGTTGGCACGAGCTTCTGTTACTATTTTGTGGTCGTTATTTTGGCCTACTTCTCTGCGATGCTGCCAGACCTCATGTCATGTTCTGCGAAGAGTAAAAGCTTGGCAAACACGAAACTCGCATGTGGATCACTGCTACCATGTTGACACATACCATGATGCCACACAAACCAACAACATAATTATGACATGCTTGGTTTCTGCAGTTTTCATTTTACCAAAGTTAAGCAATGTTTTAGCTTCCTCACTCAGGCCAGTGAAGACTTAAGTGCTGAGCACCTTTTTCTTTTTCCCGAATGCGTACCGAAGGGTTCTCGTTTAACTCTGGGGGTCTGGGGGTAGAGCCTTGTTCGCGACCCGTTGTTTCTGAGTTCGCAACCGTCCGCAACCGTTCGCAACCGTTCACAACCGTTCGCAACCGTCCGCCGCCGTTCGCAGTAGGGCGCTAAGGCCGCTGCCATTGGGGGAAGCTTTTGGAAAGGGTTTCGGATGAAAACGTGACGCGTCAGATTCGTGTGAAATAGCATGGAAGCGTCTGGAAATGTAAGATGTCGAAGTGTGGAGGTTGAGTTCATTGCGCAGGCGCAGCGTTTTGTGAGATCCACAGTTTTCTGCGCAGTTCCATTGGGATTAGCCTTTGGAGAGTGGTGTTTTTGGGGCGCCATGCCATTCGGGTTTGCGTTCAGGGTGTGGCGTCGAAGCTCTGTTTTCGTGACAAGTCTGAGCCGAAATGGCGATTTTGGTGGTTGGGAGTGTGCTCATTCCGAATGTGTGGTGTGGTGCAAACTTTGTTGAAGCTCACATGATATGATATTGTCACTTTTCGTGGCAGGCGCAGAACTTTGTGCGGGTTTTGAGGTGTGGAAGTGCGATATTCGTGGCAGGCGCAGGGAATCGTGAGGTTGCGAGGTGACAGAGGTGACATTTCGTGGCAGGCGCAATACTTTGTGCGCGTTAGACGTGTGGATGCGGAAAGATTCGTGGCAGGCGCAGGGAATTGTGAGGGTGTGAGTTGTGGTAGAGGTGAACGTCGCTGTGCGTGTGAGCGGGTGTATTTTGGAGGGGCTGGAATCGCGAAACTGCTTGGCAGGGCTGCGTGATGTGCGTGCTCCGATGGGTGTTTCCGCTTGACTTTTAGAGCAGGTCTCGCGCGAAACGCTCGTTTTGCAGACTTTGACATGCGACTTTTGGAGGACGTCTCGTACGAAACGCTCGTTTTGGAGACTTGACGTGTGACTTTTTGAGGAAGTCTCGTACGAAACGCTCGTTTTGGAGACTTGACGCGTGACTTTTCGTACGAAACGCTCGTTTTGGAGACTCAAAGCGTGACTTTTGGAGGAAGTCTCATACGAAACGCTCCTGTGACTTTTGGAGAACGTTTCGCGCGAGACACTTGTAGTGTATGGGCAGACCGTGTGGCGAAATTACGTTCGTGATGTTGCATTGCCATTGGAATTTGCACGGCCTTGGTGGGAAGTGTGTTTGTGTGGCGCCCTGCCACTGGGGGGCGCGAAACATGCTGGTGTAAACGTGGCGTGTCGCTGGTGAGCGGGATGACTTGTGGTATCATGTGATACGTTTGCCTCTAGTGTGGGCAGACCGTGTGGCGACACGACGCACGTGACGTCGCAGTGACATTGGGATTTGCCCGGCCTTGGTGCGTTTGCGTGGCGCTGTGCCACTGGGGAGCGCGAAACAGGCTGGTGTAAGCGCGGCGTGTCGCTGGTGAGCGGGATGATTGGTGGTATCAAGAGTCCCAAAAGAGTGCCCCGCAAGAGCTTCCTACAAGAGTGTCCTACAAGAAAGAGTGTCCCACAAGAGTGTCCTACAAGAGTGTCTCACAAGAGTCTCCCACAAGACTGTCCCAGATAGAGTGTCCGACAAGCGTGTCCCGTATGAGTGTCCCGCCAGAGTTTCCTCCAAGAGTGACCCACAAGAGTGTCCCACAAGAGTGTCCCACAAGAGTGTCCTATAAGAGCGTCCTACAAGAGTGTCCTACAAGAGTGTCCCACAAGAGTGCCCGGTAAGAGTGACCCACTCTTAGTGTCCTACAAGAGTATCTCACAAGAGTGTCCCACAAGGTGTCCTACAAGAGTGTCCCACAAGAGAGCCCTACAAGAGTGTCGTGTAAGAGTGACCCACAAGAGTGTCCCAGAAGAGTGTTTTAGAAGAGTGTCCCGCAAGAGTGTCCCACAAAAGTGTCCTGCAAGTGACCCACAAGAGTGTCCTACAAGAGTGTCCCACAAGAGTATCCACAAGAGTTTCCTACAAGAGTGTCCCACGAGAGTGTCCCACAAGAGTGTCCCACAAGAGTGTCCTACAAGAGTGACCCACAAGAGTGTCCTACAAGAGTTTCCCAGAAGAGTGTCCCACAAGAGTGTCCCATAAGACTGTCCCACACGAGTGTCCCACAAGAGTGCCCCACAAGAGTGTCCTACAAGAGTGTCCCACAAGAGTGTCCCATAAGAGTGTGTCCCACAAGAGTGTCATTTGGACATATGTAGCTTTTCGAACGTGTTTGCATTCGGGTTCGTGGGCTCCATCTTGTTTATTTTTCTCCCCTAGTTTTTTCAGACAGCACCATCGCGTGCCTTCTTTGATGCAAGTAGAACAAGGCACACAGTAAGTTATCGCACGTTATAGCAAACAGGCACACTGACATCGTGGCATGGCCAACACTCTCTTTGATGCTCAGTTCAACAAACAAGGCTCATCAACACCACCAATTTGCAGTTTCCTCTTGCGAATGGGCACCTCGTTCTGCCAAGCTTCTCAAAAACGATGGTGGAGGAGTTGTGAATGTCAGTATGTCCGGCGATGGCCGAATCCAACTCTTGGATCATCGAAGTCAGTAATGGAATCTCCTTGGCCGTAGATCCATTCGAGCAAATACAGCTTGTTATACCAATTCGCATTGGCTAGGAAGCGATCCACCAGGCCACAGGAACTTGAAGAAACCTCAATCCTGTTTTGCCAGGGATGGCCCGAATTCCCAAAGGCATGCAAAAGGGAATGTGTGCGGCCTTGTTGAAGAGCATGTCTGACTTCGCAAAGGAAAACATGAAGAAACAAACAAATCCAAATAGATCCGTGGTGGCCGCTAATCTAGTGTGGCTGAGGGCTGTCCTATATCAGTCCTGGCAAGCTGTGCAAAGGACCGCTCCAGAACAACCCCATATTATGACGTCTCAGCCGTCGTGGAGTCCATTCAATGGTATGTTTCCTAGATGATCTCAATTTTTCGCATTGGATGCAGGGTAATCTGAATTGGATGAACTGGACAACCTGTTCGTCACTACTTCCTTTGGAAGCGCCGAAAAAAAACACCGTAAATTTATCTTTTCTGCTGTGGTTCTGCCTCCACGGTTGCGAGTCTCGACCGGTTGACTGTTGTCGTACGGCGTGCTGTTCCTCCTGCACCACAGGACATTTGGATCACTCAACGCTCTCAAAGGAGATAAGCGACCAATGAAAGAATCAAGTGACTGGGTATAAAATTGGCTATGCCAAAACCAATCATGTATCAAACTGCTGTGACAAAATGCCCCATTGCATTGAAACCCAGCCAAGTCCATATTGAAATAGCAACTTCCAGCACCATACAACTGCACCCTCGCATCCTTGAAAATGTATCAAAACTGTAAGAACAGGATTCTTTACTAACTTATATCTTGGCAAGGGCTTTTCCTCCCGTTATAAGTTCTGAGCATGTGCTTTAGACCCACCTGCCTGCTCCCAAACCAAGATAGTCTTGGAGATCCTTGATATCCCCTGAGACTGGCTGGTGGCAAACTACATGTGCTGGCTATGCTTTGCGGCCGCTTAGAGGCGGTCGGTCCAAGGCAGTGGTATAACCCTCACAACCCTGTATTTGATATGCATGTTTTTCAGGGTCCAACACAGTGGAGGTATATAACGACGGCCCGAAACTAAGAATGACTTTTGTGCCATTCCGTTTCGGGAAAGAACCGCTCCTCAAAATCATTTTTGGTACATTTTGGCTATAAAACACCGCTCCTTAGCATGCCCCAAAAGTGGCGCATTCTAAGTTAAAGGCGTGTTTTAAAAAAACAAAATTCATTTTTTCAGCGGGCCAAGCAACTTAGAAGCAGTGCAAATTTTCCAGCATTTTGGCGTGCAACATGGTTCAACAACCATAATTTGCAACAAAGTGCGACTGGGGCTGTTGATTTTGGAATGCCTCTGGGCAAACTTGTGTTTTTCCCGAGAGCGTCTGCGAAGGGTTCTTCGTAAAAAAACATCTGCAGAACTACGTCTCATCTACATCTTCACATCTTCACCTCTGCACATCTACATTCTCACCTAAATCTCTACTCATCTTCACATCTACATTCACATCTGCACATCGACATCTCGGCTCATCTTCACATCCTCACATCTACATTCACATCTGCACATCTACATCTCGGCTCATCTTCACATCCTCACATCTACATCTCTGCTCATCTTCATCTTCACATATCTACATCTCTGGTCATGTTCACATCTGCACATCTACATCTCTGCTCATCTTCACATCCTCACATCTACATCTCACATCTGCGCCTTTCGCTCTTCTTTCCTTTCTCTCTTAAGGCCGGGGGCGGCGCCGCCGGAGCACCACGAAACGCAGCCCTCTGCGGAGATCGTGCGTGTCGAGCGCGCGAAATGCAGGCGAGTGCGATTTGACCCGGTCGCGGGCAACCCGGGGAGGAGATCGTGCGTGTCGAGGGCGCGAAATGGAGGCGAGAGTGCGATTTCGCCCGGACCGGCGCAACCCTCTGCGGAGATCGCGCGTAGGGCGCGAAATGCAGGCGAGAGTGCGTTTGGACCCGGTCCGGCGCAACCCTCTGCGGAGATCGTGCGTGTCGAGGGCGCGAAATGCAGGCGAGAGTGCGTTTCGGCCCGGTCCGGCGCAACCCTCTCTTCAGATCGTGCGTGTCGAGGGCGCGAAATGCAGGCAAGAATGCGTTTTGGATTTGGCGCGCGCAACCCTCTGCGGAGATCGTGCGCGTCCAGGGCGCGAAATGCAGGCTAGAGTGCGTTTTGGCCCGGTCCGGCGTAACCCTCTGCGGAGATCACGCGTGTCGACTTTGTAGTGCAACTTTAGTGCGCGGAGCAATCTGTGGAGCTGG